AAATCGAAAAAGAAGAACCCGGTTACTGTGAATTTCTGCTCTACAAATACAGCGATGTTACGAGGTTCTCGGACTAGAATAAAGACCAGTAAGATACAAGATCCTGTGAGTCAAGGAGGCATCCTGAAGCCTCCCAGGGCCTTTTCTTCAGACACTCAGAACCCGGAACCACTTCCTTTCAGCACAGCCTCCCCTTATTCTGCACGCAGGCAGAGCACTTTCCCACCCTAAGCCTCTGGGATATGCTTTGCTGGCAATGCCTGGCTGCCTCTTTTTGTCCAGTGTCCTGAGTTTTCTTGGGGATATTTATCACTGTATTTACATTTTTGTACTTTATGTGTCTATGCTTATAAGCAAGATACTTACATGTATATGCACATAAATTTTATATTTATATAAATATGGGTGTATGCTTTACATATACATGGGCTATAAATATTTTAGTATGTTTGACATTGAATCGGCTTCCTTAGAATGTGACTCAGTGACAGTGGGCTTTCTCTGATTTTATTCATCACTCTCAACATTTAGGACAGTGAATGGCAGAGTGCAGTCAGGACTCACCCCTACATAAAGAGCACATTGAGTGAGTGACTGTATGTACCTCCTTCCAGCTCTGGGTATGACTATCAGAAGGTCACTCCTGGAATCTTTAAGGTCTCTCCTTGCTCTGGACCCCACTGTGGAAAAGGGCAGCCAGGTAGAGGCTGCTTGACCAGGAACTGGAGTCCTTATACCCTAAACAGGTCCCTGAGAAGCCTGGCTCCAAGGTGCCATGTAACAGAAGGGTCAGGCAAAGACAGTAGCAGAGGCCAGTGGGCCCAGTGGCAGGAGAAGCTCAGAGCAGACTGGGCTCAGCAGCTGGAAGCCACAAAGCAGGCAGGTAGTGGATTCTCAGGGAGAATACCACAGGAACAATTAGAAGCAGGCAGTGTCCACCTCCAGGCTGAGCTTCCAGTTGCTGTCTAGGAGGAAGGCCGTGGCATCAGTGAGCCTGGACAACCTCCATTCTAGAAAGACCATCAAATACCATAAACCGAGAAACCCAAAGGGGACAAATGTCCAGAAATGCAAAGCCTGGGAAGAGTTGTCACAAGTGAGGCAAAAGGCAAGGTCAGGACTTGAGGCCAGCAGCAGCTGAGCTCCCAAAGGCCTGCAGTCAGGACTCAGCTTTCATGAACATTGCATCTCAACTTCCCTTATATAAGGAAGGGCCCCAATAGATCCATCTACTACAGTTGTTTCCAAAATTAAGCAATTCCGTATCTACTATATGCCAGCCATATATGTGGTAGCCAGTAATACACAGAACTAGACTAGGAAAATGGAAATTACAGAGGGCATAGCTCTTCCAGACAGGCTGTGAAACAGAGGTCGGAAGGGGTGTGCGTAGAGTATCTCTCACCAAGACCACCTGACCTTTGTGGTCACTGAATACTTTCCTGTACTCCTTGATTTTGGTAGAACAATGCGATGATGTGTTAGGACATATATTCAAAGGGAATGGTGATTCGTCCTGCATGATCATTAAAATGACCCTTAACAAACCAGCACTTTTACAAATATTGACCATCACAAAGTATTTCATAGGAACACAAACATCCAGGATATTCTGATCAACGTTATAAAATGATAAAGGGGTGGGTTATGATATTTGCATGATGTGACTATTTCTCCCAAAATGATGATGTCAAACTCACATCAAGAGGTCACTGAACACAGAGAGAGGCAATATGGTTGCACTGTTCCTGGTCTCACTTTCCTGCGTGCTACGTGGACACGCTCTGTCCCTTTCTTCCTTGTGTACAGCTAAGCACCTGCTGTGCATACAGGGCATTGTGTTTGTGTCTTTTCCCAGCTGTAACTGGTGGCCCTGGCTTCATCACTGAGCCCTTGACCCAGGGAAAGAGCTAGCACCAGAGTACAGGCACTTGAGGGATGTTCTCGTTTTTTTTTCTGTCCTGTTTCTCCCCCTTCTACCTCTCCACCCAAGCCTTACCTTTCCCCCACAGGGATATTTGGGCCCCCACAACACATGCCTGTACATGCTCATCTTAGATATGGGGTACCCAGGATGGCCCAGTGTCATTTCAAGGGCACACCAAGACAGGGATAGAGGAGTCTAACCTAGGTCTGCTTCCTGAGCTCAAATGTGCTCAAGATACCTGTTAGGCTCTTATTAAAATACAGATTCTGATCCAGTCTGGAGTGCATTTGAGAGTCTTCATTTCTAGTGGGTTCCCAGGGATACAGGGTTTGCTGACCTGGGGCCTGCATAAGTGGAGAAGGCTCAGGGTAACACACACTACCTTCAGCACTGATCCTGAACTTAACTGGTGGTGTTGCCAGAAACAAATTCCTTCTCCTACAGCATTCATTTCCTTCTCTGTAACAAGAGAGGATAGATCCAGGTTTTGTGGACTTTAACCACAAATTTCAAGATCTTTTCATAATAACAAACAATGACATGATTGATGCAAATTGTGATTCCAAGGTGGGTATTTATTGTATGGAATAACTTTTGTGGCCCTCCTGAGAAATAATAGATTGAAGTCCTACTCCATAATTTAATAGTATTGGGAGAAAGGTTATAGTGTGGTAGACTAAACAAGATAATGACGTTGAGTCTCTCATCCCATATGTAGGTGTCCATATAAGAAGACACCGGCTCCGTCTGAGCATGCACAGAAGAGTGTGAATGTGAGCAGGTGTCTGAGTTCAACCCAGGAAAGAAGCCCCCATCAGAACCCAACCCCAGCAGCACCTCACATGTGTCTGTCTTTGGCTCCAGAGCTGTGAGAAAATGAGTTTCATTTGTTTAAGCTACCCATTCTATGGTGTTTTTGTTATTGTAGTCTGAGCAGATTAGTTAGTACAGATTTAGAAAATAAATCATTACAAATTACAATTTTTCAAAATTGACATCACCATAAGTGAGTGGCATCAAATTAAGTCTGCCCTCAGGGGGTAAGAATAATACCTACTTGAGCAGCCTCTGGGTGATGATAAATAGGATACCATATATAAATTGTTTGAGGTGGTACTTGGCAGTCATAAGTAATCCATTTTAAGTGTGATTATTCAGCTTATATTTTCTTTTGCTTTGGGTCCATAGTTCCCTTCAAAACTGTACAGCTAGAGTTCCGGCTCCTTGGGCATTTGTTAGACCATGAACAAAAGCCACATGTCCACCATTTGCTCTGGCAGGCATGCAGACACCTGAGATGGGCCATGCCCAGGAAGGTATTGGCAACAGGAGAAGATCCAAAGCAGGGGTGTCTCCTTGTGTAAATGAAGAACAAGAAGCAACCATGTGTCCAGTCTTTTCTCTAGACTTTCTTGCTTGGGTGTTTGAAGCTCTAGAAACTACTTCCCTTTGGGAAATGTAAGTTTTCCCACAGGACCTGTGCAGCTGGTGTGGACAGAGGGCACTCAACCAGAGTCTGCAGTAAGGAGTCTTTAATTAGAGGGTCCCTTGAGAAAAGGCTTGGTAATCCCCATGTCCAAACGTCCATTTCCCCTGCTAACATTCTCAACTCGCTGAAAGCAGGGATTGAATAGGTTTCTCTTTAGGATGGTGTCTGCAGTAGTTAACCTTGATTGCCCACCTGATTGGATTGAGAAGTACTAGGAGATGAATAGAACACACCTCTGGGTATGTCTATGGGGACCTTTTCAGAGAAGATTATTTAACTAAGAGGGGAAGACCCTCCTTGAATGAGTGAAATCACTCCATGTGTTGGAGACAAGCATGAAATCAAATGTGAAAAGAGAAAGGACCAGCTAGGAGCATTCTCTGTGGAGCCCTCATAGCTGGAGCCCTCGTAGCTGGAGACCTTGCAGCTGGAGACTTTGTAGCCACCAGGATATAAATTGCTTTGCAGCACCATATCCTCCCCACAACAACAGACTGAAACTTCAGAAACTGGAGCTGAAGAAATTCTACTTACCTTAAGTTAGCTGTGTCATCCATATCTGTCGCTGAGACTCAAAAGCTAGTTGTGTTTCTATAACAATGCTTGACACTGGGAAATGTATAAAGAAAAAATTAAAGGGTCCGTTTAGCTCATAAGGGAGGCTGAAATTCCAAGATTAGGTTGCTCTTTTCATAAGGATCTTCTGGCCACATCACAACATGAGGAATGGCAACATGGAAGGGCAGGGAAATAGAGGAGAGAGGGGAGAGAGGGAGAAAGAAAGAGAAAGAAGGGGAGAGAGAGAAAGGGGAGAGAAAAAGGGAGAGCAAGAACACAAATATGAAGGAGAGAACACAGAGGGACCAGACTTATTC